ATTGCAATTAATCAATCTTTTATTGGTATATGTGCATCCTGTGCGGACTGTCCTTATATTCCCTTAACTCATAAGCATTCTAAGCGAAGCTGGATGATGGCTAGCAGGGAAATCCAGGAAGTAAGTTTCGTTCTATTTGGAACTCGTCAGCTATGTGTACCTAAAACATTATACATAATTGAGATTACGAACCAATCAATCTTCGACCACCATTCAAAACCTGGAATCATAGAACAGCCATTTCTTCCTAGTATAAGATTCCACAACAGTGCATGTTCAAGAACCCGTATCCGGCAATGAAACCTAGTACTCTCTGTTTCTGGCATAAGCGCATAAACTCTAGACCATTGAGTCAGTATTCAATGAGGTTAATCTCTAAATTGTCATATGAAAAACTGACTGATTTTAGAAATATGAACCCTTGAAGGTAATCATAGTGATCAGGAATGAAAAACATTCACTGATATACCTGGATATTCTAGACTATAAACAATAAGGAAAAGAGTGACAAATGTTCCAGTACTTCAGGTGTTGTTTTTATGTTGTAGACGATAGATTCCTAAAACTCATATTGTGTAATTTAATCTTTGTGGAGCTTGTATGCAGATGTATGCTTGGGGATTTTCTACCACCTACGCACATAGTCGAATGACGAACTTATCGATTAAATGTTAAAGGACTCCCATCATATTAAAACACAATTGTATGAACGAAGAATATTCATTTCAATGAATTTCTTATCACGGATATCTACAATTAGTAATAAATATATAGTTGTAGGACTCCTTTGCAATGCGCATCCACGATCTCGACTTACGACATTCGAATTTGATGAGTTCCACAATAGGAACTCATATCCAAATTAATCAGCCATAAAATTGGCCAGATTCAAGGCAGAGAGTACATCATCATTTGGAAATTGTGAATATGTGAATTCAGAATTGTTGTTGTTTATTATATATCAAATCAAATCAATTCAGATCGTGAATGTTGGGGGCTGACTGATATGAAGTTGTTAACTTGAATCAGTTTATAAGTGAAATGAAATTGTGATATAAATCATGATCAGAATAAATATGGTCAACATGGGGTAACAGAGAGAGAGAGAATACTGTGATTACAAATCGGAAATTACGTAATATGTAAAATAATTAGGTCAAATATAGTAGATTCAAGGGTGGATATTGAGTAAATTCCTCAAATAGAGGGTATCAAGTGTAAAGATAATAATAATAATAATAATAATAATAATAATAATAATTTTGGAACATAAAATGAACACCATATTATAAGATTGATTATTAGCTAGTTGACCAGGGTAAAAGAAGTGGCTGAACATACTTCTTTTGGATACAAAGCTCTGGCTTTTTGATCCGAATAGCGATTGCTTCAGCCGTCTGTAGGATTCGCAGTCTGACGGAATTAGGTAGATTGCTGTTGACACGATAAACTATTGCAAAAGATTGCTCCATGTTTGCTGTATGTCCAGTTTGGACTAAATGGTCAAAGATGGAGCTGTTAACAGTTTTGACCACACTTTTACTTAACCACACGGGTAGGTGCTCACTACCCCGAATGTACCCCCTTTTGAGGAATTTACTCAATATCCACCCTTGAATCTACTATATTTGACCTAATTATTTTACATATTACGTAATTTCCGATTTGTAATCACAGTATTCTCTCTCTCTTTCTGTTACCCCATGTTGACCATATTTATTCTAATCATGATTTATATCACAATTTCATTTCACTTATAAACTGATTCAAGTTAACAACTTCATATAAATCAGCCCCCAACACTCACGATCTGAATTGATTTGATTTGATGTTTAACAAACAACAATAATTCTTAATTGACATATTCACAATTTCCAAATGATGATGTACTCTCTGCCTTGAATCTGGCCAATTTTATGGCTGATTAATTTGGATATGAGTTCCTATTGTGGAACTCATCAAATTCGAATGTCGTAAGTCGAGATCGTGGATGCGCATTGCAAAGGAGTCCTACAACTATATATTTATTACTAATTGTAGATATCCGTGATAAGAAATTCATTGAAATGAATATTCTTCGTTCATACAATTGTGTTTAAAAACTTCCATGGCAATGTCGATCATATATTTTTGTATAAATACGCTTGATTTGTGTGCTTGATTGACCTGGTATCTTCTGGTTGTCTGTAGAATATACTTTCTACATCTTATCAAGACTTCTAGATCGAATTAGCTGAGTCAGGGACAATGGACCAGTATAGCCTATCGAGTCTCTGAATCCTTGATTCTTCGTTCCGTTCCGAGTAAGACGAATCAGTAGTAGCGTTCAAGCTTAACGAATCTAACATTTTATTACTTTTTCAACAGTTTTCTCTTACTAAATTATATCACAAGGGGGTTTCTGTAGATATTCTAGTCATTTCAATAGTTAAGATCACGATTCAGTTGAAGCTAGATCACCATAGATAACCTGAATGGATTGTATGGCTATTTCGTCCTATTGTGGAACTTATCAAATTCGAATGTCGCAAGTCGAGGAGTCCTACAATAGAATAAACTATATTTATTACCAATTTTCTTTATGAATTTGCATAAATCTTAGTCCAATTACAGTAACCATATTTATCATCCATAAATAGCGCTAAAATTGATTCGTTTACATTCAATGTAAACAAACATTTAAAAATTGATTACAAAATATTGATTTTAGTTATTGTTTAAATTGTAGATTTTGGTGAGATCTATAATTTATGGAGGATCATTGAGTGACGCTTAAATGACCTTGAGAATGTTCACCTAGTAACTAGGACCAAAATGAGAGTTATAATCCAGTATGGAGAATTAAAATTGTGATATACAATAGATGATCAGAAGGGGTTTGTGGAGATTTTTAGAAATTTTCACAGATTAAAATCATGAGTCAGTTGAAGCTAGACCACCATTGAAAACCTGGAAGCACTGGACGGCCGTTTCGTCCTGGTATGGGACTCCTCAGCAGTGCGCATCCACGATCCCGCACCACGCGGGGCTCGAACCCAGGACTTACTGGCTTCGCGCGCGAGCACTTAACCATCAGACCACTGAGCCGGCATCCAACGGTGTTAATGTCTAACTTCAACCAATCCACGAAATTGCCCCAAAGAATTAGATTTAAGTTGACATCAACTAAAAATGCTAAAATTCTATTCAGCCAAATGGACGAATAAATCTCGCGCCGAAATCGAAGACTTGTTATCTTAAATCTGATTGGTCTGTACATAAATTATAGTCTCGCTATTTTGAATCTTTTTATGTTCACGGCGTACTTTTTTTAAAAAATATGTACAATCTTTCAAAATATTTTTTCAATAAACACATAACTAGTAACAATAAATCTGGTTGGTTAATATTGACAACGCCACCAAATGCCCTGGTACGGCCGAAAGTGGGGAGAGTCCGCCCTCTTTCTCCGAATGCTCTCACATGGCCACGCTTATATAGCCTCTGCAAGGGAAGTCCTACTCATTACCTTCTGGTGGCCACAGTGTTGTTTACGAAATTGAGAGGACGAAAACCGAATATCCGGCGCATTAACCGGGCTGGTGGACATGGAGAGTCCATCTAGGGGAGTTGGAAAACCCTAATTTCAAACCACTGGTTCACATGGGCTCTAGTACCCTGAGGGAACAAATGGTGTATGAACCAATCGTTGGTCACTGGCTGGCTACCGTGGGACTGGATCTCCTTATGATGCTCCACTGCCTTATGGATCAGACCTTCGGGTCGGAAGCTCCAGTTGTGGCCCCCTAAGTAAACCACCTGTTTCGGTTTGGTCACCGGGTCAGTAACACAGCCCTCACAAATATCAAATGAGATTTGTGTGTTGCATATATATTTGGTGCCTCCTTGTACTAATATCTATGTGTTAAAATAAATAAATAAATAATGTTGACAGCAATTGGTAATTAGATTCACTTGGTATCTTTCCATTGTTGTTAAAGTTTACGATTGATCAATTTCTTGTTAATATATGTGCATCATGTAAGGAGTTCCTCGATAATGCTTTAAGTCACAAGCTTTATAAGTAAAGATGGACTTATAACTCAGTAGCCAAGTAGATAACTTAATAGAGTTTGAAGTAAACGGTACTAAGTTTGAGTCTCGGTGTGAACATCAACTCTAGGATGCAGGTACATTCAGCTGACAAGTCCCAGTCAGGACGAAACATACGTCTCAGATTTAACTGCTAGCCACCAATTATCTTTGTTTATAAAACTGGTTGTTATTCTCCAAATCTCTATTTCTATTGAGAGAATAATCAGGATTTTAAGTAGGGATATTTAAGAACATAATAAAATTAGTGTTAGGTGTTTGTTAATTATTATGAATGTATAACTGCCTTCGACCTTATATACACGATCTATTAGATGCTTAACGAGTGAAGTTGTAAAGACTTTATTGTTTTTTAAGCATTAATTCCTTGGAAAGTGTTTAGGAAATCTGACTGAGGTTATTGTAGGTAAGGGTAGGTCTATAGATATGATTAGCGGTGATGTTAGTAGGGTATTGATCTACCTTCGAATGGCCTAGTGAACTGTGACAAGGAGAGTCCTAACAATAACCGACATTTTGTAAAACTCCTGTTCGCATCTGTTTTCCCAAATGAATTAATGGACGAATAAATGCGGCAATGAAAAGAAACTTCCCTGTAGTTTATTCGGTTTCACCATGTGTTAGCAAATTTTTGTTGAGTTAGTCAGAAATGTTATCACTATCCTGGTCACAACTGACCTTCTGTAAGATGGGCTGGGAAACTCGGTGAAGGGACCGAGTCCTCTTGGAAGTCTCCTCAAGATTACAGGTACACCTTACTGATGAGTGTTTCGTATCACGAAATTGAGGTCCAGGGTTCCCTTTCCACCATCTCCCACTACCACCTTAATACTAAACAGTTTATATCCAATTAAAGATTTGGCTATTGTTAACTCTTTTTTTGTCACTATGTTTTCTTTATTCTTTAGAATCCGTTTCCCTTGAACTCTTAGACGTTCTACCAACCAGTGTGTTACTAAACGTATTCCATGTTAAAATATTAGATCAATGTGTAATATGCATGGAAAAGTATTGTATTGGAGATGAAGTGATACGACTTCCATGTTTTCATGCATTTCATGATGATTGTTTTGTAGATTGGATTTTAGAGGTAACTTTTAATACATCAGATATAATTATCAGTATTAATATTTTTAAGTGTAGGGTTGTGGAGTCTGCTGAGTTTTATTGAAATTATGAAGACATCAATGTTAGACAATCATTGAAAAACTGAAAGCACTGAACGATTGTTTTCATCTAGTATGGGACTAGTCAGTATTGCACATTCACAAACTCTCAGTAGGCAATCGCATCTAGAACTTGTAGTCTTGTGTGCAAACGCTTAATCTTTAGACCACTGAACTGGCATTTAGAGGTGTTTATGTTTAACTTCTATCAATACACGGTATTGACCAACCGTGAGTAACCGTCTTAAGTGGTGTTGTGGAGATTGCTAAGCATGCATTTTCATGTCACTATCAGTTTTTGATTTGCCAAACAATAAAAACAAGGAAACATTGAACAGGTGTTCCCACCTAACATAGCACTCCTCAACAATACGGATTCAAGATCTCACCACAGACCGAGCTTAGGGCCTCATAGCGAATGTCACTGGTTTGCACTACTGAGAACTCACACTTGAATGGAACAGCTGTTATGTACTCCCAGGTTTTTAGCGGTTGTCTAGTCAAAGTTAGTCAGTAATGTGATATATCAAATAAGATATGAAAAATTTCATTAATTCGTGGAACTTTCATCGTTCTTCTGAACGACATCATCAGTACGAAGGTAGGACAATAGTTTGTTTTAACTAAATGGAAGAAATCACTTCATTTGGTCATATAATCTGACTTACAGATATATGGAATGAGAATGTAACAGATTTTAGCGAAAATAAAAAGACTTTCAGGTAAGTTTATGAAATGTAAGGGGTTTCTAGAATAGTTCTAATTGTAAATGATGTCATAATTCAAACTTTTAAATCCTGATAAAGATGATGATGTATTACGGTAAGTTCTACTTACAAACAAATGAAGGATCCATTAGTCTGAACAAAAACAATCAGGAGCTCTAAAAGATCGGACGTCTGATGTAAATTGATACTTCGACGTTAATAATCCACATGTCACTATGTGACAGAGAAGATGGGACCTTCAAAATAGGCTTATATTCCGAACAGAAATCAAAACTTTTACCGGAATTACCTTGATTATGTAATAACATGCAGTAAACTTGGAACATGAGTGACCGTCCACCATTGTCTTCAGTGAGTTACACACTTACAACAGACCTGGATGAACTCTACTGGTTACTGCTTCTCACTAGAATTCCAGGAAATACCTCTTGAAGCCAGGCATTAGTGAGCATATAGTGATTATTATCAGAAAGATGGCGGTGGACAGTGGCTCGATTTCATTGATCGACTGAAGTTACACACTGACATCGTTGGATGCCAGCCCAGTGGTCTAGATGTTAAACAGTCGCGCGTGAGACTGATACGTCCCGTGTTCGAATCCCACGAGGCGGGGTCACTGTTGCACACTGCTTAGGAGTCCCATAATAGAACGGAACGACCTTTCAGTGCTTCCAGGTTTTCTATGGTGATCTAGCTTTAATTGACAGTGAGACCTATGATTTATGGACAACCTTTGAGTGGCGTTAAGGTGACCTTGAGAGTATCCACCTAAAAACTAGAACTATAAACCAGTGTGAGGAATTCGAATTATGATTTACAGTTGATAGTTAAGGTTAAGAATTAGATTTCAGAGTTTTCATCACGAACTGACATCAGCTATAATGCCAAAACTCAATGGATGAGTGAATTTCGCGCCAAAATCCAAAATTTTTTTCATCTTATCCTTGATTGGTTCGTCTATGAATGATAATCTCACCAATAGAATATTGGATCTTCTACATTCATTCTACATCATAATGATGATCCATATATTCAGAATTATTGATTTGTATTTTATATATTTTCATATGCATTTTCTTCAAGTGTTTAGATTGTCCAATATGTCGATGGCCAGCATTTGAATTTGAATAATACGAAAAGGGAATCAAATGAATACAATTTTTATTCTAAATTCCATTGAACTATCTTCTTCTTAAAGATGAATGTACATAGTTCTTTCATTTATTGAGTATAAAAAAAGATATTGATTTGTTAGAAGAAAATATGTTTGAGTTATATTTTTATGATGAAGATGGATAGTTGCTAGGGGTGGAATCTAGTTTGATGTATGTTTCGTCCTAGTTGGGATTCATCAGTTGGATAGACTTGTATTCCACAGATGATGATCACTTCAGGACTCAAACCGGTTATCATTCACTTTGAACGCTACCATGTTATCTACTTAGCTATTGAGTCCAGATAGTCAAAAGTTTATACAATGATGGAGGGGGTAAATTTCTAATTTATTTTTGTATTGTTTGTTTGAATCTTTCCATTGATATTTTGGGATTGTAATTGATCAGTCTTTTGTTAGCATATGTGCATACTGTGAGTATTACATTGATATTGTCTTAATTTAGAAGCATTATAAGCAAAGATGGATAGTGGCTAGTAGTGGAATCCAGTTTGATGGGTGTTTCATGTTTTGCTTAGAATGTTTGTGAATTAAAGCAATATCGAGGCAATCCGCACAGGATGCACATATGCCAATAACAGACTGATCAATTGCAGTCTTAAGCATCAATGGGAAGATTCAAGTAAACAATACCAAATAAATTCAAGCTTCATCCCCTTGCACAAGTAGGTGGCTATTAGGATTCAGTAGGTAAGCGGATAACGCGATGGAACGGTACTGAGTTTGAGTTCCAGAGTGAACATCAAGCTCTGAGATGCAGGTACATCCATTTGACGCTCGTCCTGGATTCCAATACTAGCCACTATCCATCTCTGCTTATAATACTTATGAATTAAGACAATATCGAGGCAATACGCATAGTATGTACATATACCAACAAGAGACTGATCAATTGCAGTTCTCAACATCAATGGAAAGATACAAGTAAACAATAACCAAGTGAATTATGTATGATGGTTTTGTGTTGTGTTTTTTTAAATGTAAAAGTCAATTGTCCTCTCAGTGAAAACTATAGTTATCTTCAATATTTGTTGTTTGAATACAGCTATTGATAAGAAGCATTAAATTCAGATTTCTTTTTCACTTTACATTCATCAGTATGATGGGTTAGAAACTATTAGGATGATGTTACTATATAACGATTAAAAGTGTATCATATTGATGCTATTCAGAGACAGTCCTTCTGAACTTTATTGGTGGCTTCAAGTTGACTAAGGAACTTAAACTCTGTGAAATCAATGGATAAACACTGTTAAGATGTCTGAAATTCATCCTGAAATCACATCGAGTACTTTTCGTTGGTCCTTGAAATGAATAATACCTAGAAGCGCATATACAACTAATAAAAGATTGATTCGTATTGAATATTTGGACCTTATTATGGATGTTGTGAGCTGTAATTGATCAGTCTTTTTTGGAATATATAAATCCGAGGTCCGAGTCCCCAAGTGAACATTAACATTGAAGACAAATCGAATTGATGAATTCCTAATAGAATGAAATGCGCCTCCTGGGTCCCACTGCTAGTTACCATCGGACTTTACTGAATAAAGGATTGATGTTCATATTAAAATGAATCTTAAACGAATGTTCAAGTTGAAATCACGAACAGATCAACATTGGAAATCTGGAAGCACAGAACAGTCATTTCATCCTAGCATGAGACTCTTCAGTATTACTCACCCAAAAACCCGAATCTTTAATCAAATCCAAAACCTTTGATCTCTTGCGCGAACACTATATCTCTAGATAAATAAACCAGCATCCAAATGATCTTAATATCTAAACTCAATCAATCCAATGATATTGCACAGTTATCTTCTATTATCTTTGATGAATAACTGCATCACACACGACACGGATTAAACTCTACTGATCATGCCTTCTCACTAGAACTTCAGCTGTTACATCTTAAAGCTAATCACTAGTGTGCACATAACTGTATGGGGAGATTTGTGGTACTTATTACCTTAAACCTTTACCAAGAACCAATCAACATTGAGGTCTACAGGACAAGCTGTGAACCATATGTAGAAAAATTCGAACATTTCAATTCTATCTGAAGTTTACGCTGATGATGATGTTGTTTAGAAGAATGATGAAAGCTCCACGACCAAACCATCTAGAGAGCAAAACTCTATCAAAATCATCCACCTGAGTTACAAATCTTCTCCACCATCTTAATGGGATAGTCCAATTTGTTACATCACATCAACACAAGGAGGTGTATCAATAGTATCAGTGATAGAAAAAAACACATTTGGTAGTAAAAAAAAATCAACTTCCAGAAGAATAAAAAGATTATTGAAGAGAAAGGTATAGACCAATTCAGTGTGGCCACATTGTCACTGGTTACGAACAATGTCAATTAACTCATTCAACTATTGACTATGATGATTGCTCAAACCTTATTCAGGCAGTTTTTACCTACGAATATGATTCTCATCGATAGATAGTGACTTCTATAGAAAAAGTTCTTCAGCAAGCCTCTACATACTTTTCTTAAACTTATTATCCATTCATTGTAAGCGAAATCGATTTAGATATCTTGTAATTAAGGCTAGAAAGATATGCTCAGACGACAGTATAAACAAGAAACTAAAGCTTATTCATAATATGTTGATTAAAATGGTTCAGCCAGAGTTTTCTGAAGAAATACTTTCATGTAGTATATATGCAGTATTTCCTTAGGAAATTGACCCACTGACTGGCCCTGCATACCATTTTGTAAGAAAGTTCTCTTCCTGAAGCTAATTCATCAGAGATATAGCTGATGATGTGCTACGAGACAGAGTGACTATAGCAATGAAGAGGATGTTCGATACAACTAACCTTTATCTATCGTTCTCTAATCGATCTATGGTGATTCTTCAACTAAAGGGTAAGTTACCCAGTCTTGCCACATCTTTTAATATCTACAAATTTAGCTACTCCTGTGGAGAAAGCTATAATGGGTGCACAGTCACACAACTGGGTCAACGAGTTAGTAAACACCCTCCCTTTGTTGTTAAGAAAAGATACTGTTGAGACAATACACAGCTCTGTTCTATCACACTTGATCTATAGCGGTCATGTAGAAGATAAAAATAGGTCATTTAAAGTGATTTATTATATTCCTTCTACTTTTCCTTATGGTGTTCAATATCGTCTCTTACACATAGCAGAAGCTACAAGGATTCGAATTAACAACATAAGTCTTTGTATTCATAAAAGATTCGTAACACTCTTATCTCTTCCTTGGCCAATGATTTTATTTATTATCAGAATAAGGATTTATGAAGATTTTAGTAATTTTAATAGTTGAATTCGATCGTGGATGGGCGCTACTGATGAGTACCATACTAGGACAAAACGGTTGTCTAGTACTTTCAGATTGTATTGATTATTATTTTTTATACTCTTTAATTGTTCTTTTTCAAATATATGCTTCACAGTCTAATCATATGATCACCTCTTATTTTAATTAATGTTATATCAGCGTGTTTACTTTTACAAGTGATTGACCTACTTTCTATTATGAAACGTTGGTTTAAGCTTTTAATTATTTTTATCACAACTAGTACACCTGACATCGCCCCCAAGTGCCCTGGTAAGACCGACAGTGGGAAAAGTCAGCTCTTCCTCTACAAATCCTCTCACATAGCCACGTGCATACAACAACTAACAGGAAAGTACTACTCACTGCATTCTCGTCCAAGGGATGTTGTTTACGAAATTGAGAGGACGAAAAGAGAATGTTTGGCGCTTTAACCGGATTGGCGGATCCATCTAGGGGAGTTGAGAAACCCTCACTTCAAACAAACGGTGCACATGGGTTCTATGATCCTGAAGGAACAACTGGCGTATGAGGCAATCGTTGGTCACTGGCTACCATGAAACTGAATCTCTCAAGGTTGCATCACTGCCTTATGTATGAGACCTTTAGGTCGAAGTCTCTGGTTGTGTCTCCCTAATAAAACCACCTGATTCGGTTTGGGCACTCGGTCAGTATACCAGCCCTCACACAAATCGAATGATTCATGTGACGGATATCTATTTGATGCCCCCTTATACAGATGTTTATGTTTTAATAATAATAATAATAATAATAATAATAATAATAATAATAATAATAATAATAATAATAATAATAATAATAATACCTGACGTCACACCACCAATTTATACTTTTCACTTATTATGTTTATTTATGTAATCTATTCTACTGTTATCGTTAACTCAAAAACTACCTTCACCGGTTTCATAATTTCATATCCGTTTATAAATATTCATGTATTCACAATTGATTGATCACTGTGTGTCAAGTACTTCTTAGTGCAGCTCGAATGCTATCGACCAAGTTGGAATGTGGCTATTAGTCTAGGTGACTCCACATTGCGTGTACTATGTTGTGATAAGATGGTGATTGGAGGTAGTCAACAGGGAACCCTGGACCCGGGCCTCGTGCCACTTGGCACTCTCAGCAAGGTGTATCTGTAATCTTGAGGGAACTGGTGCTTCCTGACGGATTCGATCCAGACCAACCAATCAATTGTGACTACATCTCAGTCCTACGGGAGGTCGCTTGCGGCCCGGATAGCCCAGTGGTAACGTCTCTATGAAGCTGGGTGAAACTGAATTGAATCCGTCAGGGAGCACCAGCTCTCTTAAGATTACAGGTACGCCTTGCTGAGAGTGCCAAGTGGCACGAAACCCCGGTTAGCAGGGTTTCCTGTTGACTACCCCCAACCACCACCTTAAATATTTATGTATATTAGAGTAAAGCTTGATGAGAATCGAATTATAAACAATATTGTTCGCTTACATTTATATAGTTCTGACTTACAATATTGGAATTTTTATCATTTAAAGTACTTGAAAATTGTAGAATATTTTGTCTCAATCGTTTTATCTAAGTGTACACTGGGTTTTTTTTTCTTAAGTCTGGAGACAATTATCAAATCAAAAGAATTATTTAAGATTATTTACCAGTTAAGTTCATGAGTCAGTGAAAGCTAGACAACCATTCAAAACTTGGAGGCACTGGACTGCCGTTTCTTCCTAGTATGGGACTCCTCAGAAGTGTTCAACCACGAGAAACGAACCTAGGACCTTCTGTTTCGTGCGGTAACGCTTAATCTGTAGACCGTTGAGTCGACATCAAACCTTGTTATTAGGTTCGAGTCCCACGTAAAGGATTGCAAATACGCACTGTTGAGGAGTCCCATAAAAGGACAAAACGGGCATCCAGTTCTTTCAGGTTTTCAATAGTGGTCTAGCTTGTATCAACTCATGAATTCAACTATTTAAAAAGTCACTACAATCCCCATAAACTCCCATTCTAATAAGACTATTTACACTAATAGACAGAAGAATTAGGATTATACAGATATCAAGATTGATAAATGAAATAACTTGACTCGTCAGCTGGATGTACCTACATCCTAGAGTTGATTTTCACTCTAGGGTTCAAATCCATTATTGTTCGCTCCAAACTCCATCGCATTATCCATTTATTTAGTGACTACCAGTAGATAAGTGGATAACGTGATGGCGTTTGTAAGAAACGATACTAGGTTCAAGTCCTGGAATGTACATCAACTCTGGGA